ACTCTACCAGACCCGGGATTGAACCCGGGCCGCCGCGGTGGGAAGCCAGTGACTAACCGCTTGAGCTATGGCACGGCCTATATCTCACATTATTGAAATATCTTAATATGAATCGACGTTAGTGTTAATCATTACAATCACACTACACGCAATTACTGAAAAATTGTAAAGAGATTTTTAAATTTTGGAAAATTCCCTCATCTTTAAAATGAAAATTTCTGTTATTTATGGCGTATTTTAGGAGGTGTTTATCTTTCTGGGTCCGCTGTTGTGTTTTATATCTTTGCAATACTATTTACATATGTTATTACGTATTAGTTTTTACATATTACTTCTTGCTTTCTTGAATGTGACATCCTGATCTCGCTCTCTCTTTACAGTGCACTCTGTACTTCTTATCGTGTGAAAATTTGTTTTTGTGTTGTTACTGTTCCTGCTTTCAATATGTTTCTGACATGTCTTCGAAACTCAAACGGAACACTTAAATTTCTTGTGGCTTCCCTCGACCCCTCTAGGAAATGCTGGGACAGTACCTCGAAATAGGCCATGGATAGCTCTTTCCAAGGAATGGTAAATGTAAAAGTTAAGCCATCCCTGTAACAGACCGTTGAGGCTCTCATATTTTCTTGACAATCGGCTCACAGATAGTGGAGAGGTCAGTCTTACGCGCCGGCCGCCGGCCGCCCACGACGATTCCTGCTATCCATTTCTGTTAGAGGTTGAGTCGACCCCAGGACCATAGTGCGGCTGGAAGGATTAGGTCAATTGAAAATATCCTCATCGGGACTCGAACCCGCTACCTTCCGGTTTGTAGCATAGGGCCTGAACCAACTATGCTACCGCGTGTCCCACCTCTTTCCAAGTCCTTTCCAAATAAATCCTCATTGGATGCTGTGTATTAAGAGATATTCATAAAAAGATAACGTTTTCTCTATGTTTACTTAAGTAAGCACCATGCCAGGGCCGCGCCATAACTCAAGCGGTTAGTCGCTGGCTTCCCAACGCGGCGGCCCGGGTTCGATCCCGGGTCTGGTCAAGTGGGATTTGTGGTAGACAAAGTGGCGCTGGGGCCTGGTTATCTCCGAGTACTTCGGTTTCCCATGCCAGTCTTCATTCCAGCAATTGCTCCACAATCACCCTCACCCATCATCTGGGGCTGGTACAATAGGCCAAAAGTGGTCGCAGTACAAGGGACTTAGTCCCACCACACTAGCAATAAAGAAAAGCACTATGCCATGAAGATATATGAGGGAGTGGATCTACAGTTCCACCATTCTTGACCTGGGCACTAGATGACAATGTATGGTCAGATTCACGCTCCGGCCGCTTTATTCCCGATACCCATTCGATACGAGGCTGGGTGAGCCCCAGAGCCAGTCTACAGGCTGTGGAGAAGAGAAGAACCCTACCACTACTGTGAATCGAACCCCGTCAGTCTAGCCCGCAGCCCGTCTCTATAAGGACCGAATTATCCCTATTCCTTCTGAGCTACTGAGAGCGTCGTTAAATAAGCCACATGCGAAATAAATAAACTACTCAGTTGTATCAGCATTTAAATTTTAAACGAACCTCCTACACAGCGTGCATAAGGGAATATTTCCCCGGGGGTAAAGTGTCAGGGATGCGAATCTGCTCACTTACCTCCATCTAGTGCAGAGGTCAAGAATGGTGGAGCTACATCTACACTCCTCCATACATCTTTACTGCGTGATGCTTAATGCAGGCCCAGGAGAGCTTCGCTTTACCCGTGAGTAATTCAAGATGACAAGGAAGCTATTTAGAAAATGCGGTATTCCAAACGGGAGCTCACTTCTCACCCTAGTTGACACAGCACAGGAACAGAATAGAACACGTGTTACCGACAGCAATCTTGCCTACGCTGAAGACGAGACTCACCTCCCAAACTGCACACGTGATCAAGACGGTGATATTCAGGAACAGTAGTCACATGTCGCGGCACGGATCCTATCTCTGGGCATGGGAACTATACGTGCTTCGGCATGTAAGTACTCGTAGTTCAAGCTGGCCCCAACAAGTTGCTTGAGAACAGGCGGTGTTACTGCTGGCAGTAGAAGTTGCAATGACGATATATACAGTTTTTATTAGAAAGCCTCATGGGAAGAAGCCATTTGGTACACCTAGCAGACGAAATAAGGATAATATTGAAACTGACACGTGAGGAGGATAGAGCACGTGACATCGAGTGGTGTTTCTCTTCCATAGTTCATTGTAGCTGCACACCATTGAACAGGAAGTTTGCTGTAAATGATGATTTGGGAATGGAGTTGAAGAATATTTCTTGATATTATTTTACGTAACTTCTCGCAGTTTCCCTTTAGAGAACGAGGAAATCGGCCATAAACTCAATCACATTAACAATATTTCGTTACGTCTTAGCGATTATACAAGAGGTTGAATTTATAATTGGATTCAGTGGATGCTTACAACTCATAAAGAATACCTAAAACAGTTTTACTGATTTACATATATACTGTAACTACACGTACATATTGTTTCTTCATCAGTCGTTGCTAGGTAAATGCTGCTAGCAATGTAACTTGAGACCGATAACCGCCAACACCACCTCCAACTGACTGTCGAATCATTGACCTCGGTCGGTCGGTTAATTTGGTGCTGTATTTTTCCCCGCACAGTCATTCCTGTCTTCAGTCTCTGTGAGATCCATGGTCAAGATTTTTGTTTTCTCCCACACATGTACGTGTTTCGAATTGGGCCCTCCTCTTTGAAGAGGGAGGGATCAGTCATTCAATGTAAGCGCTACGTTTGTTGTACCGTAGTTTCAGCACGACTATATCCGCGCTGTCACGGTGTCCAGGTCACTGTGGGGTCTGTGTCACTGCACTGCACTGCACTGTACAGGGGCCAGTCTTTCTATGTAGGCGCTACGTTTGTTGAACCGCAGTTTCAGCACGAGTATATCCGCGCTGTCACGGTATCCAGGTCCCTATGCACTCTGTATACCCCTTTTCACGGCAGTATACTAAGTAATATTTATGCAAGGTATACAGAGGGTTTTTGTCAATGCAGGCTTGTGCAGCAGGTTTTGCCTTAACGTATGTAACTACTTTGAAACTACAGTTAGTCACCTGAACGGTCGTAGGCCTCACTGCCGCCCATTTTGTCTCTTATACTTCTTGTGCATCGCTTCTCCTTGTCCAGTATCATGTTCATTTGGATTTACGTGGTGTAGGGCTACTTCTGTATATGTCCTGCATAGTTTAATTATGTAGGCATATACGTAAGTTATTTTGAAAGCCACCTGCAACTCGCGGGCTGGTGTGCGCCCGTCAAGATTTCCAGTAGCGCAATGTACTCTGTTCTGCTGGCGATGCAGTTTCAAGAGGTGAGCGTCCGCCTCATACTCGCAGGTGGGACACGTGTAAGTCATAACTGACCTAATCAGAGCTTGTCACTGTTCTTAACTAATTAAACACTATGTCATATGCATATACAGATTCATGTTTCTGTGATGCTGGCACTAGTTGAAGGTAAAGTAAGTAAGTAAAGCTATCCCTGTACCAGACCGTTGAGGCCCATAGGGTTGTGAGACATTGAGGGTCCCACGTTATCTAGACAAGCGGCTCAAAGATGGAGGTAAGGTTGTCATCCATAAGCGTTGGCCGCGCTTTATTCCCAAGGAAAATTATTTAATTAATTCCTTGTACTCATTTCTGTTAGAGGCTGAATCGAGCCCCAGGGCCATAGTGCGGCTGGAAGGATTAGGTAAATTGAAAGAAATCCAATGACCTCATCGGGACTGGAACCCGCGACCTTCCGGCTTGTAGCATAGCCCCTCAACCAACTATGCTACGGCAACCATACATTTCTTACAAACAGAATGTTTAGTCCGTTTGGTTGCAGTATATGCTCACCGACTCTAAGCTTTCTGGAGAAATATATGGCTTGAGTTTCTCCTTCATTAATCTTTATGTTCCAGCGCTCACACCACGAATTCACTGCAACGAGTACGGGTTGAATTTTGCAGAGAACACGATGTTCTTGTTTCTCTGTCTCGTAAATGCAGGTATCGTCCGCTAAGAGAGCAAGATGAGTTCCAGGTGACGTGGGGGCTCTACAATATTTGGGTAAGGACGGAACCTTGAGGAACATCCGTCGCCATTTTTCTTGGCGTAGAAAATTCGCCTTCTACCAAAATTTTAAATCTTCTCTCACAGTCGTAAAAGAATTGTGTCTTTAAAGTAACTGTGAAATGAGAGCTCTCCTTCATTTTGCTGTTCTAGTGTATATGTAAAGGTTAAAATTTTCCTTCTGCTTAACTAATTAAGCACTACGCCGTGAAGGCGTATGGAGTAGTAGAAGTGAGTAATCAGATTCACGTCACGGCCGCTTTACCCCCGGGGAAACAGCCCCCGGTACCTGTTGGATAGGAGGTTGGGTGGACCCCAGGAGAAGAGAAAGTTTTTGACCCTACCGGGAATCGAACTCAGACCCCTCGGTCGTCCAACTCGTAGTCAGTCGCTATACCGACTGAGCTATCCAGGTTTCTGTTCTTGTGTATATGTACTAATTACAAAATACTTCATGAAGGGTACTTCAGTTCTCAGAGCGGTGATTATGCAGTTACTAAGGCTTCATTCTGGTTTCTTGCTTTGTTTATTCTTCGATCTTGAAGAAGGAGGCGGCATGTTTCTGCGAAAAGTCGGTTGACTTCCATAGGAATACACGTCGTTATATAGGTTTTATTAGCTCTGATTTAATTACCGTAAGTTGCAAATTTTGTTTTCTTGATATCCTTATATATTTAAATCTGAAGACTATTGTCATCTTGGACGTGAGCCCGTCTAGTCTGGAATAAGTCCACCACAATACACGGTGTCTGAACCCAAAAGATAGCAATCTTCACAATCACCGTCATGTGAACCTCAGGTCTGACACAGGTCAGCAACATTCGCATAATTTAATAAAACAAATTCTGTTGTATGTTCAAATTATTTGACATGGAACGCCAAAAATGTTACCTCCTTGTCATGGTTGTAGAGTAGAGTAGACAGGGCACCGCGAGCAATCCGCTGGCCAGCCAGATAACAACCAGAGCGAGTCTGGCTCGACGCTTTGACAAACTGTGCTGCAGCGGTCGCACTATGGCCATGTATCTGCAAAAGAAGAAAGAAATTTTGGTTCGAAAGCTTTCTCATTCGAACGAGTACACTGGGTCAGGAAGTAATGAATAACATACATCCCTATCCTCTGCACTGTGGCCTTGTAGTCTGGATAACTCGGTTCGGTGTAGCGACGGTCTAGGAGCTGGAGAGCCGGTGTTTGAATTTCGGCAGGGTTAAGAGTTTTATTTTCTCCACACCGTCCAGACCGGTTCTGGGACCCACCAACCCACTTATCCAATATGTACCAGCTGTACTCAGGGATAAAGCGGCAGAAGCGTGAAGCTGAACATTCACCTCCATCAAGTGCTGAGGTCAAAAATGGTGGAGCTACACTTCCACTCCAAATATGTCTTCATGGAATAGTGCTTAATTAACTATGCACAAGGACAAACTTTCCAACGTTGCTTAAGCATTATTATTCCACTGGGATGCTCAAACTTCCTCTCCAGGATAAGGTGGTAGTCCTCGAGGATGCACATGCATTCACTAATTTTAGATTTTGGAGCATACTGGAAGGACTGTGTGAGAAAGCTAACATATACAGAAAGGGGTGTCTTGTTGTTAAATCAAGACTTATATCTTGTGGACAAACCATTAAGATATGAAGTGCTTCTATAGAAGAAACGTGAATAATTATTACCCCAAAAGAGAAAACATATATGGAAATTTCTTATATGTGGTATGAAAGGAAGTAAAATCTGCAAGGAAACATTATTCTCTTTACATCCGCTTTTGTATATGTTACTTCGGTTCCTCACCTTCAAATGGAAGGATAATAAGAGAATAATTAATTATAAAGAGCGTGGAAAGAAGCAGTCGTCACTTAATTGAAGATATCAATCCAAACACTCGCTGAATAAACTGAAGATAACTGTGATCAACTGTAGCTAGTCTCCAAACGGAGGTTTGAATCCGGCCCTCCCGAATACGCTTTGAAGTGCTAGTCTCCGTGTTGAGATCCGTTGCTAGGAGACGACTAGTGGAAACTGAGTATCCTACTGCGTGTGAAACGGTGATCTGTAAATTGGGTAAATCAGCGGTAGCACCCTATTTTTGCGTCCATTCGTTGCCGGGGGAACGTGTTTACCGAACCGTTGCCTTGCAACTTTAGGAGGGATACACATATAGACACACAGACTGATGGGAAGAATTTATGAAGTACGCCGTTGGGATGGAATCAGTTGTCATGGTATGTACTGAGTTTCATAAAGAATGGTTCAGGCATTGTGATGTTAGAGTGGGGGTCGGGGGGTACTCAGAAACAGGGTGGAAGTGGCACAAGCCTACTTCAGGGAAGTAGGCTACAAACGGAAAGTGGCGGGGAATACAGAATATCAATGGAAGCGTTTGGGGGGGGGGAAGGCAAAACAGGAAATGTTACGTCTTTTATTCAAATGATGGGGTGTATTTAACGCACTGGTATCTGGCAAAGTTCGGCTTGAGACTGACGTAAGCCTAAGCTAGTGACACACAACCTCAGGGCTGGAACACACACAGCGACATCGGTCGTACGGAAAAATGTACGATTTCTTTGCCGTACGACCTCCTTTTCACACTAGAGCGACCAAATACATTTCCTTGTTCTCCGACTGTCGTACGGCAGATGTCGCATGTCGTCACGTATAAAAGCTAAGGGCTGGAACACACACAGCGACATCAGTCGTACCACGTCCGTACGGTTCATGTCGCATCAAGTAGTAGAATTCAAGTGTAGTCTTAGCTTTCATACGTTGACGATATGCGACATCTATCGTACGACAGCGGAGAGCAAAGAAATGTATTTGGTCGCTCTAGTGTGAAAAGTAGGTTGTACGGCAAAAAATCGTACGACATTTTTCTGTACGACTGATGTCGCCGTGTGAGTTCCATCCCTCACTGTTGTCATGTACTAGCACGGCCTGCTCCCCCAAATGTATGAAGTTCCATTGAGTCTAGTGTATTAATATAGGTACATGTCCACAACTTCAAAAAGTAGAATTTGAGGCTACCACGGAGGTCACTATGAAGGCCACAGTTGTGGCGCCAAGTGTTTCGGAGATAGCTCGACGTTCATATCAGGTTACCGTCTGCTTCTACTGGGGTCTCTTGCTTGTCTTGCTATTCGACACTGAAGATGGGGGAAACATTCATCTCCGAATCGTCGGGCTCTCTCTGAACTTCATGGCGTTACAACTTAGACGACCGTAGGCCCCACATACGACATTTTAAGTTCACATATTTAAATTTCAGATAAAAGTCGTTTTCTCTTGAAAGTACTGACGCGTAATTTTTAGGTTCATTTAGTGCATTGCATGGTACACGAGCCACACGATGCTTACCACTGGCTTGAGTGGAGGAACTAGAACATATGCATTCTTTACACAGACCAGAGTGAAGTATATATAAAAACTTTCAGGTAGATTTTACACGTATGTAGAATTTTTATACTGAATTTTGTAGGAGGCTGATAAGTGGTTTCAGAGACAGAAATCTCAAATGGCGGACTGATATAAAGGCTTCTGCCTCTCGTCCAAGACTCTCTTCACCGTCTACGTATGGAAAGGGATTGTCAACATGCAGGGTTTTAACTGACTTCAGCCCATAACAATAGAAAGATGCGTGTTTGTCTAGAATCTTGCTTCCTACTCTGCAATGTCGGAAACAGTTGGGCAATTCCAAATATTTAAACAGCAATTCCACTGGAATCTCGAGTACTGGAGCTCTGCCAGACAGATATCGTTCCGCCTACGTTCCTTCTTCTTCTTCTTCTTCTTCTTCTTCTTCTTCTTCTTCTTCTTCTTCTTCTTCTTCTTCTTCGGGCACAGTACAAGAATGGAAGTAATCACAAACTTTTGGCAAAGTTTCACCTCAATCCAAGGAATTCTAAAAGAATACGCCTCTTATAATGAAACAAGATGGTGAATGGAAATATTATTAATAAAAAAGAAACACTCTATGTCGCTTCCGTCCGAGATATAATCACTTTCCTCTAAGAAACAATTTCAAGGTGTTAGCTACAGAAGTTTACGCGCAAGATTATCTACTATATTTTGCAGACAAAAGTAAAATTATCTGTGCTTAGTTAATTAAGCACTACTCCATGAAGGCGTACTGGGAAATGGATGTGTAGATCCATAGTTTCTTGACCTCGGCCCTAGCTGGAGGTGAGTGGTTAGCTTCAAGCCCCGGCTGCTTTACACCCTGCGGGTACCCATTAGCTAGTAGGTTGGGTGAGTGAACCCCAGAGCCGGTCTGAACAACATAAAGAAGAGAAAATTCTTTACCCTACCGGGACTAGAACTCCTACTTCTCTGTTGTCCAGCCCGAAGCTAGTCGCTATGCCGAATACGCTATCACGGCTCAATATATTTTGCGGTTATTTTAAGAAATTTAAAATTCATTTTGAAATGCTATATTAGGTATTAAACTTCCTTAATTTATTTTCTTTAATTAAGCGAATGACACTGAAAATAGTGGGATTTGAGGTTTTCACAGCAATATGAAGAATGCTGTTTTCATGAATGTACCGTCTAGTATGGTACGAACTTATCAATGTTATGACGTAACATTCAACGGAGAAGATGGAGGCAGCAGGTCCCTCCGAAACTTCGTTATTTTTTTCCAAAATACACGATGTAACGTCCAGGAAGAGAGCAGTTTTCATTTCACACCAAACTCACTCATGGAGCTGAGTCCTTCTTGAGAAGCCGCCAATTGTGTAACCACTCAAGAACTTCGCAGCATTTTATGGAACCTGAAGGTTCATTACCGTGTTCACAAGAGCCCTCCACTTGTCCCTGAGCCAGATCAGTGCAATCCACACCGTCCCATCCTATCTCTCTAATATCCATTTTAAAATTGTCCACCCATCTACGCCTTGGTCTTCCCAGTGGTCTCTTTCTTTCAGGCTTTCCCCACCTATATCCTATACGCATTCCTCCTCTCTCCCATTCGTGGTACATGCCCTGCCTATCTCATCCTCCTTGATGTAATCATTCTAATTATTACTTGGCGAAGCATACAAGTTATGAAGCTCCTCATTATGCAGTTTTCTCCAACCTCCTGTCACTTCATCCCTCTTCGGTGCAAATATTTTCCTCAGTTGGAGTGAAATATGGGCTGTACCAGTTTCGCTGCACTCATTGTTATGGCCGACGTCTGAGTTCAGACTCTACTTCCACGTAACGCGTGTTAATTCGCCACTGAATGGCCCGAATTGTTACAGCGAAACCCAATAACCAGTCATTTGCCACGACAAAGTTGTGAAATTAATGTTGAAGGGAAATGGGTTGAAGCCCCGTAAGCAGGTTTATCCTTTGTGCATAACATGTGGGTGGGGTTTGTCAGTTTCCCATTACAAAGGAAATTGAAGTTCAAACTAACGAATCAAGTGTCATATGCGCTAAAATTATTCGTACACAAATTGGTTTAGAGAATGTTTTAGCGACGCATTGAGTATCATGCGACTAATGATAAATGAAACACACAGACGCCCCACATGTTGTTGTAATAACATGCCATCGGACTGAAATTAACTTATGAATTCTTTTCATAAAAATCAGTTGAGGCTATAGCAAATGCTGAACATGACCTTCAGCTGTTGACTTCTCATTAACATGTTGCTGGGAAACTCTGTAAATTCTTGTCCCACAATGGACAGCACTCTACTCTTGATGCTCATCCTCGGAGAGTAGATTATTCTGACAAAACTTGCCTTTAAAAGTTTTTCGTGTCATGTGTTTATGGCTCCGTGACAAACAATAACGCGTTCTGGATGAGATTTGTTTACAACTTAATTTACAATATCTCTTATTCACTATCAATTACAGCGCTACTGCTAATCTACCCACTTCAGAAATCACTAGGACACGCTATCCGTTTCCTAGCAATGGGTTTATAACAGGAACTATCACTTCAACACACCATGATGCTTTCTTGCCATTTCTTGGTCAGTCACCTTGGAATACCGAACCTCCAAACCTGGACCCAATTCTCCAGTGCTAATTCCCTGA